ACATCGTCTCCTAGTCATCTAATCAAATCTATGATTTGAATATTGAAGGCCCTCAACCAGAGTTGCACACGTGTTCTGTCACGCAAGCAGAGCTTTGGCATCGACGCTTGGGGCATGCAAACAATCTGAAAATTCATCTCATGGCTTCCAAGAAGTTGGCCGCAGGCATTACTCAAATTTGTCACATGAAGTCTCTTTGTAGCACTTGTCTCAGGGTCGAACACAGTAGAGACTGAGTGCCCAAGCACTCTCACACTCAGACCACGCGACCACTACAACTACTACATTTTGAACTTTGTGGACCTCTTCCTTGTGATTCACTAACGAAAAAACGTTAGATCTTGATGTTCATAGATGATTTCACCAGATACACCAGGATCTACTTTTTGAGAACAAAGGCCGAGGCTTTACAACAATTTCAAGAATTCAAGATCTTGGTGGAGAATAATTTCAGTAGAATCATTGCTGCTCTATGAACAGATCAGGGAGAAAAATATCTCTCAAATGCATATCATGACTTCTGTGCCCAATTAGGTATTAAACACATCCTCACATGTGCTTATACCCCACACCAGAGTGGCATTTTTTAGCAAATGATAGAATTGTCCTTGAAATGGCTCATAATTTTTTATTATACGCTCAATTGTCTAAGCATCTCTAAAAAGAAGGAGCTAGAATAAAATTATATATACTAAATCGGCTTTCTACTAAAGTCATTCAGATGTCCACTCCATTCCAAAGATTAATCGATCTTATTTCCAATCTCAAACATCTAAGAGTTTTTAGATATGCTGACTTGGTCCTATTGACAACTCGCCATGACAAGCTTTCTGCCAAAGCGCTCCCAGTTACCTTCATAGGCTACGATACTCAATCTAATGTCTACTGCGTCTATGATCCTATCAATGAGAAGATTCATATTAGTCCAAATGTCAGGTTAAATGAACCCATATTTGGACTCGCGACTCGTCATGATCCAGATTTAGTTTCCAATTGGAATATTTTGCTGCATTCCAAAACGCCTACTATCCAATCCATTCTTGCGTTTACACCACCCGAGTCCGACATCCGGCAGAATTATGGATCCACCTCTACCAACCAGTACACCGACCCTACATTAGAGTTGCCTCACCTTTTGTGTCCTTGACCCTATCACTTCCTTCACCGGCCGAACCTTTCACAATTGAGGCTCCGTGGTTCTCTGAAGATCCACAGTCTACATCCGCAGATCTAGCCGACTCCAAACCTGATCCGAGCCCACTGCCCTTGCCTCAACAAGACTTTATAGAGGAAGATCTCCCATTTGACCGGTCCATAATTCCACACTAGTGGAGATCCCTTTCCTACTGGAAGTATTATATCAGTTACTAACCAAAGTGTTTAATAACACATTAGAGTGTCACGATGCAGAATTATTGATTATTTGGGCAGCAAGCTTACATTCGATCGGGCAATCAATATTCCCGAATGGTATGCATCAATGGCTGAAGAGTTAAACTCTATCGACAAAAATGACACTCAAAACTTAGTCGCACTACTACCCGGCGCCAAGACAATCACTTGCAAATGCATTTTTCGGATGAAGGAGCCGCAAGGAAATTCTCCATCACGACTCAAGTCCCGCCTAGTGGCAAGGGGCTTTCAGAAAAAAGAAGGTATGAACTATTCTCACACCTTTGCACCTATAGTAAAATGGTCGACAATTAGTATCATTTCAGCCATAGCTAGCTCTTTTGGATGGCCTATCACACATCTCGATGTAAAAACTACCGTTTTAAATGGCATTATTATTGAGGAGGTATGTACATCAGCCTCCTGGATTTGCAAAAATTGGCTTTGAGATTTTTGTGTGTAAGCTAAATAAAGCTCATTACGGGCTGAGGCAGGCTCCTAGGGCCTGGTATGAATGCATAGATAAATATTTACGTCTAGCAGTATGAACTCGTATCAATTCTGACCCAAACCTCTACATCCTTAGAGAGATCTTTTTCATTGTTCTATTGATGTTGTACATTGATGACATGTATATCATTGATAATAATCAGTCCAAAATTTTTGAGACCAAGTCTGATATTATGACTCAATACGAGATGAGTGACCTCGGAGAGATTAAAAGATATTTAGGAGTAGAATTTGTTAAAAGTCAAGTAGGATTTTTTCTGCATCAAAAGTCTTATATTCTAAAGATTTTCAAGGAGTTCAAAATGGTAGACTGCATAACATCAGCACTGCCTATAGAAGCAGTAATATACTTGATTGAAAATACAGGTACCCCTTCTATAGACCCTACATTCTACCGGAAATTGGTGGGCCAACTGCTCTTTGCGACAAACAGAAGATTCGACATCTGCTTTGCTGTCGGACAACTCTCCAGATTCATGGCCAAGCCTCAAGAAGCCCATTTGGAGATGGGTTTCTAGATCCTACAAAAGTATGTTGGATCACGGCTTGTTTTTTAAATGAGGTTTTTCACTTCAGTTTCGGGGATACACCGACGCCATTTGAAGCACTTATCTAGATACTTTTAAATCCACCGGAGCCTATGCTTTTACTCTTGCTGATGGGACAATTTCCTGGTGCTCCAGTACTCAAGCTTTGGTATTGCTTTCATCCACTAAAAGCGAATATAAGGCACTTTCATTCATTGTTGAGAAGGCCATTTGGCTTCGACAATTGGTCCGAGAGATATATCTGACAACACTACCACCTACATCACTTTCATGTAAGGATCTCAAGGTAACATTCTCAATGCACAACTCTGACTTATCTGAAAGATCTACAATTGTTCATTGCGACAACGATATTGTCATTGAACTCGCAAAGAATCCAATGTTTCATGCCTGCAGCAAACATATAGGCATACAACATCATTTCATTAGGGAGAGAGTTGCTCTAGGCAAAATTATCATCAAATTTCTGTCAACTAAGCTTCAGCCAGCAGACATGCTGACTAAAGCCCTGCCAAGGTTAAAATTCAATCAGCATCTACATTTTGTAGGCCTCCGCTATATGTCAACTTTGAGTGATGACTCTCTTGTTTCCTTACCGAGCAGTTCTAACGCCTAAGCTAAACAAAAAGCTCGGCTACTCTTCTAGTTCTAAATGCTTTGTGCAGGTATCCTAGATACTCCACTACTTGAGACGCAGCCTCTCGTCAGCTCAAGTAGACGTCAAGGCGTTTTTCAATGGCTACCTCATACTACTTCCTTACCCGAACGTTGAAATCTAGGGTACCCTACCTACAAATTCTGGTTCAGAAATTTCATTAGTGACATCAAGTGGAGGCCCCAAATCTACTCCTCTTTCCGACACCTCCCTCCACCTTGGATTCACTGCAGCTGGCTGCATCACCTCGCTTTCAGGTTCAGCATCATCGATCTCAATAACATGAGAAGAAATCTCCATAAAATAGAGAATAATAAACTCCTTAGTACCCTCCGATATTGCCTTGCCCTTGCCTCTCAGATTCGACATTCCTTGAAAGGTTTTCTACGATGTTGATCTCAACGATTATCTTTTGCACTCTAGAGTAAGGGAAGGTGTTAGATACACATACTCTTAGAGTGCGTACGGTTAGTTTAGTATGTCGTCTTATGTTAGCTATCACCTTAATATAAAAATAAGGACCTAAGCAAACCAGGTAATCAGATGTGTAGCCGTTGCGGTGATTAGAGATAATGCAACACTAGAAATCAAGATAAACTCGACAATATGTATTCGATCTCTTCACTAATATTTCAGCGATGACGATGAGTGTACTTCCAACAGGCAGCCGACCTGCGGGGAGTGGGCTGCTTCTCCACCATGACCTCGTCTGTGACCCTCAAATTTAAATTATTTTGCTATTATAACTGCAGGCACTGTTGTTATTCGAGAAGTGTAGAAGTTGGATTGTGCGCTTCATTCATTTACTCTCTACTTTTTATCCGGTATATGCATTGCAATAAGGAAATTATTAATCTCGTATTCACTTTCTCTATGCATTTAACAGTAGAACAGTGGTGGCAAAGAGTGATAGTTAGTTAGTATTTTCCAAATATGGAACTACAAATCTTAACTTAAGGGTTACGATAGTCACTTGAAGATAAAGTTTTGAAGTTAATACTTCTTGTTTACGTGTGAGTAAAGAATTGTGTATATAGTGGTAGCTAGATTGTAAATAGCACATATCAAAACACTCATTTAGCAAGTGGTTACTTTCTTAGTTGATTATGATATTTTTTTGAAATCTTTCCAACCTAGAACTACTTCCATATCAAATTAACATGAATGATCATTTTTTATAAGAAATTCATTGAAATGAAAAAGAACTTTAAATCAAAATGAAATACCTACACTCATGTTAGTCAAATGAAATATTTGAAAAGATTTCATAAAAGTATTTATGATGTAGAGTAATTTTAATTAAAAAAATATTTTATACTTTTATAATTTTAAGAGATCACAAACAAATAATTTTCATTCAATCTTTGAAATTCATGAAATTTTTTAACTACTTGTAAGATTTTTAAATGTTTATTTCTAGACCCAACTTTTTTTTTTTGAAGATTTTAAACACACAACTCAAGATTTTTGAACACAAGTTTTCAAATACTTGATAAGCTGATGACATTGATGCAAACTCTAATTCCAACCAACATGAGAAGTGTCATTTTCAACTTCGAAAAGCTATATTGACTATTTAACTTACAGTTGTACAATTAACACATATCCTCTATTTATCTTATCATAAGGAAATTAAAAATGTAATTTATCATTATGTTCAAAATTTATCAAGTCTAAAAAGCATATATTTCATATATGTATATTATTTTGAGAGATAAAAAAATATTAATTTAATTCAATTATAAAATAATTAAATATCGAATTCATTTTGCAAAATATATTCTCCAAAGTGATTATACACTTGTGAGATGTATTAAAATAAAAAGCATGGAAAAATTTCAAATCAAATTTCTATTATCTTTATGTAGATAATATAAAGCACTGAAAATGGCTTTATAATGTTTTGTATATAAAAAAAATTTATCAACATATATATATATATATATATATCCTGAAAGGCTAGTTCCACTTCACATCATATGTTGACGTGGAACATGCATGCATGGGAGAGTGGTCGTTCATGATGGCGGTTGGTTCCTCTCTATTCCGATTTCGGGCAAATTTCAGCAAGTCCGACACAAAGGCAGCGCTAAACGAGTAGAAGAAACTACGAAGCAGATGATCTTCGCGTTCTACCGATCGCAACGATGAGGCCAATTGACGGAGCGAGCTAACATCAACATCATTGCAGATCGACCAGAAGAGGCTCGAACGTAAAGCCCAGAAAAGATCCACTGTTGTACGAGTTCATGCTTCTATCCATGGATTGAAAACGACTCGAGCGGTTCCAGTTTCCGATTCTCTCTTGTAGCAGTCGGATGCTGCGCCGTCCACTCTGCGGATGATGGAAGTTTGCTGCAGGGATGAGCGTTTTCCATGCGCTCTCAGGTGGGTCATTGAAATTGTAAGAAACGACAGAGAAGGACTTGGAATCGAGTGTCGTGGCCATGACGATCAGTTTGTCGCCCTGGACTTTGTCTGCCACCGGGAAAATCTGCAGCATCATCGTCGAATGCGAAGACTGCGAAGGACTGACATCAACTTGTCCAGACCTTCTGGATGTGGAGCTTTCCCCAGCTGCGGCACTCACTCTCACGTCATCCATCGTCCACGAGCTTAGCAATGTCCACTCTATCTCCATCTCAGGTTCCATCGTCGACGAGCTCTTGAAAACACGCAATTCCCGGACGAAGGATTCGCCGGCAGACAAGGGCGAGGAAACTGCCACTAGAATCCACTCCTTATTTCTTTCGAATATTTCAAAGTACTGGACCATGGGCTTAAGCCCACATACGAGCTCCGGTGGGTACAGCAAGCAGGAGTACCAAGTGTAGTTCTCGACACTGAACCAGCTCAGGGCCTCCCCCGAATACTCTCCTGCCTGCGGGGAGGACCAGCCGTGCTTGTGATCGCGTCTCTCTATCACGCAAATCAGCTCGTGATCGTGGAAGCTTTTCACCTCGTGCAGAGTCATCTCGGAGATGGTCTTCAACTTTTCATGGCATTGCCATCTTCCGTCGACGGACGAGTAGAGAAATATGTCAAATTCTGTACTGGCACTATAACCGATCGGCCTATTCCTGCGCGCTACTAAAACCTTGTGGTGGGACACTGAATCTGTCGTAGCTGCATGATCTGTTTTGGCAACGATCAGGTCAGGGAAGCGGCATGGAACGGGTGGAAGCTGGATTTGATATCCTGTGAGAGGATTGTAGGCCCAGATTGCGATCAGAGCAGGTTGCGTGGTTTTAGCAGCTTTGAGTGAATAGAAGTCCTCCTGCTGGCGCAGAAAGAAGAGGCCATTAGCACTCGTGTTACAGAGAGCGAGGCCTACATTTGCAGGAGCCATCAGCCGCTTCAGCTCGCGGTGCGGCGTCCAGTTGTAGCACTGGTTGCGCTGAACGTCGTACAGCACATGCTGATGCAAAATTCTCTCGTGCCAGAGCACCAACCATCTCTCGTCGGGCTTATTCTTCACCCAATACTTCCGGAGGAAAGAAGCCGAGCTCGGAGGTAAAGGAAAAGGCGACCCCGATATGGCCGTCCAACTCCTCGACACGAGTCGGCTTCGGATGAGATCCACGACCCCCAAGCGACTCAGAATGTTGGACATCACATCTTGTGGCAAACTGCTGATTCCAGTTTCCTTCTGGCCTTCGTAAATGCTCGAACTCGAAGTAGCCAGAGCACCTTCAGAATCCGTGTCTCTCACTACCACCTCCGAGTTGCTGCCCATCCAGGTCCAGTAAAAAGAAATGAGGGAATTCTACAATCTGCTGACTGCTGTCAGGTGCAGTCGATCTGTCCACCGATTTTTCAACGATTTTTCGACAGCTCTAGCACTGTGGGCACGCCAACTTGCGGTTCAAGTTGTCGAATCCAAGCCCAAGAGCTTGGATTCGACGTCCAAAGCTTCCAGCAAGCCGTGTCATTCGCTGTATACCTCTGCCATCGATGGTATAAGCTTGCAGAGCGTGGGTTGCGATCCACAGCTTAGCCAACATTTTGTGGTTCGGGGAAATGTTCCGTTAGACTTATGCGTTTTGAAGTTTTAAAGTCTGATAATTGATTTCGAGTTCGATTGATCTTTGAGTAAATATCAGGCACCCACGAACAACGGCACTTGCAACCGATATGATTTGTTAGTTTCGTTGAGCAGAGTTTGAAACGAAGCAAGCTCTCTGCTTCCTCACAGGAACGATTTAGAACATGCGACCAGTCAAGATGTTCAGACTGAATTTCAACTTGCAGCCGAGGTGCCTTCTAATGCTGAACAGATCAAATGTGCCAACGGGAAAATCTTTCTCTTCGATCGCAGTGGTTCTGTCTTGGAGTCCAACATTTACTTCAGCTCAGATGTCTGCCTTCTAACGTTCGGATGACATCGTCGTTGCAGGAGGCTGGCTGCCATCGTCATGCAGCAGACCGGAACCATAATAGTGGACACGGTTAGAAGTTGTGAGTCTGAGTCTGAACTGCATTGAACGCTCGTGTATGATCTGCTCGAACCCGGGTTCCTCCGCCGGAGGGCGATGCAGGGGAATCAGTGATTGTAAGAGCGCAGAAAACAGATCCGGGGTCGAATCATGCTACAAACAAGCCTAACACAAAAGAAGAAGTGTTGGACCTTATCGACAGATCTTCTTCTCATGTTCACTTCGACAGTGAGATGCTCATCGCTCACATTCCCGGAAGTCTTGTATTTCCGGTCCAAAAATTTCCCCCAAACAAAATGAGGCTGCACGCAAAAAAGCTTGGTGACCATAATTTTGAGTTTCTTTAACTTGATAATATGAAAAAAGCTGTAAGTCACTTTCTCAAATTTGTTTTTGCTGCATTATCTTTCACGGAAAACTGCAAAAAATGAAACATTTTTGCTCCATTTCAGTTCACCTGAACTTCAATATCTTACACAATCGTCGCAGTATTAGAAGTGTTGGTGAAGAAGAGGGTTTCAAATCTTTCAATTTTTTCTAAAAAAGTTCAGATCATATCCTTCTTTGTATGAGAAACCCCAAATTGAGCTTCTGGAAATATGAGATGTAGAAACATGTGTTCTCCACAAACAATGTTGTTCACTAGCAAATATGTTAGGTTATTTGTAATTTTACTTGCAAAATTAACATAGAGGGTATTGAGGTTATAGTCCTCAAGACATGAATCAAGGAGAACTTTTCAATAAGAACAAGGCCGTCAAGCCACTATTTATGAAGTTTGGACAAAAGGGATTGGTCTTATTACTGAACATAACGATCTTCTTATGCTTGATTTCTATGGATGCAGTAGACTTGGATGTGAATCGATTTGACGGATAAACATTGAATAGTACGAGGATAATTATGAAAGAATATCTGAACATTCCTAGAACATAGGAACACTCATTAGATGTGATATTGATAAAAGGGAGAAATGAAAATTTTGAACACAGAAACTCGCAGTCCTCTATATCTTGTAACTCTTTGAAGATAGTGATATGCTATTACAAGTGTTCAACATTCACCCGCGTAACCCAAAGGTTATTTATGTTATAAAGATTCAAAACAGGTATATAATCTAAACATATGACTCAGACTTTATTGGACCATTTCTCGATTTGTGCGTGTCATCCTTGCCGCAGGACCGTGCTAATCTTCTCTATGTACAATTTTATAGCTCGAGAGTAATATCAATAAAAGAGTATTTATCGGCATAAACTATTTATTGATTTTATTTGATTCACAAACCACATAAGTTGAAACTCGGAATTGGACAGGATAAAATTTTGGCTTCAAAGGTACTACGAGATGAAGATGGACGGCGCGACTAACTAAGCGTAAAAGGGTCCCTGATAGCATTAGATAAAAGTATTGTCAAGTACTTCGACATTGTCACCGGTATCTTACACACCCACTGAACTAGGAACCCATTCGTTGTGCCCATCGGCTTGAAATCAAACCCGATGGGCTGATGTACGATGGACGATGGGGCTGAGAATGCAACTAGTGGACAGTAGAATTCATGTTGTTAGTTGGGGCTGCCACTGAAGTGTATGAAAATTTACTGATCTCTTCCTAATAGTGAACAGAAGGAAATGAATACATCATGGTTATGATCGATAATGTTCAAGAGTCTACCCGTACTCTTGCCGGTCGAAAGGCACTCTTGTTAGAAGGACGAAGCTAATGGAAGTAATGCTTTGATCCGGGCTTTCTACTCTCTTGTAGCGGAGCTCACAATTACTTTAAACGGAATGTGCTCGAGGAGCTTCATAAGATAGCGGGTACAAGTTGATGCACGCCCTTGGGACGTTATCGAGCGTCAGAACAGTCTAGACTAGCACTTTTGATCGCCTAATGGGTAACATCAATAATTTTTTCTTTACTTCGAACTTCTGCTCTACTACATTCGATACAGATCGGAATGCTTCAGGATCTGGTTGAAGGTGTAAACAGTGTTCACAGTAATAAGCGTCAACATTCCATTCATTGTCTGCGCATGCTTTTTAAAGACATCGTGACTCATAACTCTCGGATTGAGTACATGTGCTCAGTCTAGCTGTATATCATTTCAATGCATGGAGGTATACAAGAATCAAGTTCAGAAGAATTCTATTCCCACTCCGTTACGATCAGTAAAGGATTGTTTCGAAAGTGTGGACCATTCACATAAAATCTGCACAACATGATACCTGCCTACCAGCTAGCTCCGATGCCAAACACAATGTAACCTCCCGTACGAAGGCCACACACAACTCATTGTATTAGCACATTCACATGAAAACAGCGTCACGTTTTCGTTACACTTACAAAGTTTCCTAGTGCTTGAACTAACAGTGACTTTTATGAGACCTAATTCAGCTATCTTGGCGACTGCTCCTGAAAAGAAAGACGGATGAGGAGATTCGCAAAAACCTAGATAGATCATAGATGGGGCTAATAGGTTTTGTGAGATAGTACAGGACCTCGTTCCCCGTAAAGTGAGGTCAATGTAGCAGACATACAGAGGTGCCACCTTATAAAATCTGCAGCAACGGCTCTAGGCATGAAAAATTTCTACAGAACCATTTTTGTAAGGGTAAACTGACACCCTTACTTTGTACGAACATGTGTTGAACCTCCCCTGGCTACAATCCTTGCATGCGGTTCTGACCGACCACCCGGGATTTAGATTATCAGGCAGTTCAAATGGAAATGTCCACATTTCAGGTGATCGGCTGCTGTAAACACCCTTCGATCCGCAATGCAACGCCGTTGCGTCGTCAAAACTGTCACTGACCACAGAACTGAGAGTTCTGCGCTTAATTGTGGACTCCAAGCACAACGAACACCACAAGCTTTTCCAATCATTCCTCAAAACCCAGGTCCTGCTACAGAGAAAGATGCAGCACGTTTCTAGCCAGGAGAAGTTCATTAAGTCTGTCTCTTGACAAGCCCAATCTTGAGGTCGTTGGAGTTCAGCACCTCTTTCTGTCAACATCGAAAGGAATGTTTTACGTCCAAAGGAGCAAGATAACAGTGGAAACATTGGAAGTAAATGTCGTCCAATTGTCACCTGTTCTTATATACAAATTTCGTCAACAGAAGGTACTTCATCCGAATCTGTGCGGTGTTGTATACAATAAACTCATTGTAGAGAAGATACTGCAATCAGCCAAGAAACAAGAAAGACGTCAGGGTGTTGAACGCGAGTGAAACCATCAGTATGTAATTCAGCCCCAGGTGAAAGTTTTGGCAAACCGACATGAAGAACATATTTGAGATCTTTCGGAAAGCAATAGAACACATCAAAACGATAGCATTTGACAATGTGGAAACGAAAAACCACTTGGTTTGGTTAATGTTAGATGCACATCAGGCAGGTAATTGAGAAAGCTTGCAGAACATATGAGCGAACTAAACAGTAATTTGCATACACCACTGATAAACGTCCCCGTTCGAATATAAGAATTAGAAAGAGAACTGCACCACGAAGCGTAGCGTATAATTAACAAAAGCAGGAATATCACTCTACGCCGGGCCCAGAACAGCAATCCCTGTTTTCTGAATGCAAGTGACTACATCATGAGAACAGAAGCAGTTGGGCATACAGTAGACCGGTCATGTGGAAAACATGAACGCTCAACTCTGGATTGTACGGAAAGCTCTAAGAAGATGTATGGAAAAATCACTTCAAGCAGATGCCTGTTACGGGACATAACTATAAAACTGTGCCTGCCCATAGGAAAAAGCACGGGAAAAATCGTATCATAGAGTACCAATCTAAAGACTTCTTAAATGAAGAGCCACTCTTACTTGTACTACAAAAAGTCCTTCTAATCAACACTGTTAAAGCGTCAGAAGAATGGTGACATCAGCTTCAGAAATACGTCTATGCTATGTGACGAAATGTTATGAAGTTCTTTGCATAAATCCGGATGGTAGAAACGACATTGAAGTGATAGGAACCAAGTAACAAAGCAAGAAGGATGTGAAGACTCCATATATAAGCAAGATATCTAAGTAATATCAGTACAATCGCGAAAGAAGTAGTGACGTACTTCAGGAGGACCCCTGCCACATCAACCTGACATGACCAGCATCAAGATGAAACATAACTGCTCTATTGACCACTTTGCAAGCAGCCATGGAAGATACGATATTGTGCAATCGATGAAGGACCATATTAAAACGAAACGCTAGATGGATACAGATGGGCGATACACGTACCCCGCCTTTTCCTACTCCCTTCTTAGGCTTCCCCATGGGCACAACAACACCATTATCTAGAGTCTTGAACTGCTTCGGATCAGGGGCGGTGTTCCCTACACCTTTCGTGCTGCACAGGATATGCATAAGTCAAGAATCGGTATACGACTTCAACTTTTCCTCAGCCTTCACGATTCACATTGTTTAGTAATCTGCATAAACTTCGGCGTCTAATCGAAACCACATTCCAGCATCAGACACGCAGGAAGTAAGCTTAACAAATATACGCACCTAAGCAACCCAGGTGGTAGCTTGTCAGCATTATAGTCAGATGTGGTGAGCTCTCGCATATCTCCTAGTGCGACCTACAGGAGGTAATCAGATCATCAAATTTCACATGTCAAGTTATAACAAAGCCTTTGGCAGATTGAAGTTGCAGTTTCTCAAGTCGGAAGAAAGTTTCTCGCCGCACCTCACACAACAGGAGAATTCCCGTATTTTCGGTTGGGGATGTATAACAGTAATTAGCACTCTTTGAAACCATATCTGCGAAGTATACACCTTTACCAAACATATAGCCAGTCACTGGAGCCTCTGGAGGTGCAATCCTCAGACCTGTTGAGGATGACAAGGTGTTAGAGGCTACATACGACGTTCAGAAATTGAACACGAGGAACTGAAGTAGTAGGCCCTTGTACAGTGAAATTTCAACTTATGCCTGCAGAAGCTTACCTTGTGAAAGAATACCAGTCCAGTTACACAGTCTTGATCCATGCCATAGAAGCATACGGTTCTTTTCGTCTGCAAACTAATAGAGAACAAAAGCAGAGAACAAAAGCATACACATAATCATGTGTATCAGATCCTTCAATGTAGCATTCATACAATTTTCGACGTCCTCAAGATTCATCCAGCTGATTGGATCTTTACCAAAACGGACGTACTCTATTCTACTTTGGAGGTTGAACGGAGCCTTTTCGAAAAAAAATCTAGTATGAGGTGTTAGACTTACTGGCTTGAATCGGCTATCTTCGTTTTCTCTTTCAAGGTCGTATATCTGCTCCACTTGTAGACTGTAAGCGCCATGTGTCTCAGCGTGAGTGTTGCTCACATATTCTTTAATCTGGAAAAAAAGGACCGATATGTTCATGGTGGATGTTGCTGATTGCAGATATACAGAATCCGTGAAATATGCGAGGAAACGAAATTTTTAACGGATTCCTCAAAACAGGAAAATTTAGTGAAAAAAACTTATGAGACCTACCCATGCAGCATCAGGACTATCCATAGGCATCGGTTCGATCTTGCACTTAAGCTTTTCATAATGACCGTATGCAGGATCATCCTGTTATGAGAATTGACAAAGAACACGTTCGAAACGGCGCAAAATGTCAATGCTTCAAAAAGTGCGGCGCAAAGGATGGTAGTTTTGAAAGTAGTTCAAGATATAGAGCCAGATCTAGAAGTCCTATCAGGATCCAGCTGCAGGAATTAGAGATTTGGAGGATCACAACACGAATAACTACAATCAACGCACCTCATCATCTGCAGTATTAAGGATCTTGGAGGCCAGCTCAATTTCTCCGAGTGCTTCGACCTACATACGGAAGCATGGAATAAGGCTGACATCTCAATTTCCAAGGTATGCTTTGGGTAATTATGAAGGCGGTACATTACAAGAGGGCGATTACTATATGAAAATTTTGTTCGTTACGTGCAGGAAAACCGCGCTAATAACAGCATGAAACGAACGAAGACAAGAATTGCTTAGGTTTGTACAGAAAGTTACCATTTCCAGTTTCTTTTTCAAGACTTGGGGATCACTGATGACAAATTGACCTGCATAACTTGGACATCAATCAGAAACCGAACAGTGATAAAGTCCGTGCATAGATCAACCTCCTAATGAACACAACTGTAGATTAAACCAGGACGACAGAAGAGAAGCTTACTCATGTTTTTGAATCCGAAATCATGAGGTATTGTAGTATAAAATTCACTGCACCCAAAAACAAAACAAGAACTAGTTAGTTTTGTTTGACACTGGAAAACCTCTTACTCCATCGTTTCCGATTTTCACCTGAGAAAGAATGTCCGGCAACTTCACAGAGTTATGGACCTCATCACGAAAACTGACAGCCAACTTACAAGAAGGCTACATTCAGTTGTCACAGTGCACATGTTGACCGAATTCTAATCAAGTGTTGAACTCCTGAATAATGTAACGTTATGTAACAAAGAGGTGTGTCCGGACCTGCTAAGCTGGGCAAGTACACTGCCAGTTGCCTTGCTGTCCAATGCCGCTGCGATCCTCTTCAAAACTTCATAGCCCTGTGAAAGGAACAAGTTTATTGTAACCATTTACTGTCACAACATACAGCGTTAAGGGAAGACAAGTCTTGGTAAATGTGACATGGATGTTCATCGAGCTTTGTTCAAAAACCACAAAATTCAGCCTTCACGATGACCTTAAAAGCAACACCGGTAAAGGCAGATAGGTTCACACTCTAAGAATTGTGGACTTGCTCAATTTTCCAAGAGGCATCTTCTTCGCGTCATACCCTGAAAGTAAAACAACAAATGTTAAGAGTTTTGAATTAACAAGGAGGAATCGTACCAGAGAGAGCATTTTCAGGTTCGAAGTGAAGATGGGATTCTTATGGTGATATTGGTGAATATTCTCTTATTCTGCCCTTCCTCTTCATCTCAACGTACTTAATCTTGCCTGTCTGTTACGACCACCGCCGCTCAGCCACGTTATGATCTTCAATCTCTGACATGATAATACTAATACGTATAGTTCTGATAACAAGAAATCTTCATTTTAAGACACTTGAACTAACAGTGGGAGTGAGTTGATCACAAAACTTTTGCTGAATAGAGTTGTACACTTTCATCGTTTACTTGAGCATAGAAATTGAAAATTAATGACTGACGGGAGCTTCGATATGGATCGATGCACATCAAAAATATACGATGAAGCTTTTTGCAAAAGGCTCTGTAATGTTTGAAGAAAATTTTCAAACAGGAAACTCCTTACCAATTTCCATCATCTGTTGCTTCATCATGTTGATATTGCAAATGAGCTGAATTAGCTTCTCAACTTCAGGTTTGAGCTTGCTAGGGCCACGTGGTTTTTTGTCTACGTCATTCTCCTTAGCAGCCTGCGCATCAGAGATTTCCATAAGCTTTCATCTACCATAGGAAATCGAGAGGGTTTTTCAAGAATAAATTTATGAAAATGCCAAACATGTAGATGATGAACTTACGTCATTCTTATCATTGGTCTCTTCATAATCCATTTCCAACCATGTGTATTTCCCCGGGTACGCTTCAAACTTTTTGCGCTTATCCCAATCATTTTTCGTCTTGTCATGGAAAGCAGATTCGAAAGCACGTATTGCTTCGAAACGGGTCGAACAAGAGGAGAGCTTGCTCTGTCCCTTTGCACCAACTCTTCCCCACCTGGTGAAGATGTAAAACTGGCCACCTGCATCTCTCTCTGCGTCAACAACTCACATTACGTCATTTCAAACCCTACTGACTGTGACGTTTTCTTGTACTATATAAATAAAACTATTTGAACTTGAAAGAAATCAATTTTTCGATTGTGCTACCGCACCAGTTCCACAATTACCTAAAGCAAATTTTTGTATATTTCTTACACATCCAAATGTCAGATAACTGGGTTAAGACAATAATCCCTGAACAAAGCTAACGCTTCAGTCTTAGATCCCGACTAAAGTTGGTAAATTGTTACCAGGTATTCTTGTATGTAAATCTAAACATCTGTGAAACAATTGCTGAAGTTTTGATGAAATTTGCAAAATATACCCAATGCTTGAATCACGTAGTACTTGTTGTTGTTGCCACCAACATTCGTCTGGTTCAGCATCGCATCATAAACATCCTCACCCTGCAGAAAGAGGTATGGTTAGGAAAAAAACCTGTTTTATTACAATAAGGTCCTTATGAAATATGCATAGCTGATCTTCGAGGTGCAATCATGTACCTTTCTACACTTCTATCCTTACTGAGTAGGGAGTGAGAGCGCAAAATATGATGTGGTTTTACTGAATGAAAACGTGTGCGTGGACTTACATCCTCAATAACATGAAAAGAGTTCTTAACAGTCTCGGGTAAGTTTGGATCCAAAATAGCACGTCCTTTTTTGGTAGCTGTGACTAATTTTTTGTCATTGTCTTCACCATCATTTCCATCTGAATGGAGACGGAACAACGACAACAGAAATCAATCGATATGTTGTACTTATCGATTTTGCAAACGAAACAAATCGACATAGCAATCACTCCTTTCCAGGGTCGAGGTCCATAAAACGATTTGTCAATATCTGTATGGGAATGAAATGGAATTTGAAAGTAAGACTGTTACACGTAGGACCAGGAGTTGATCGACCTGGAATACGAACTCTCACTAACAGAATGGCAAAACTATATAACTCATTGGTGACATTCATACAGCTGAATAAACATGAAAGATGAGTCGTCTGCTGAAGCCGAGAAATGGATTAACAATGTTTTCTTCAATGCAAACCGATTGTCAAATTTACCTGTGGCAACTCCCTTAGCTTTTTTCTCCTGAGCTTTCAGAGCAGCTATCAGTCTCTTCTTCAGAGCTGCTTTTGCTCCTGCAGTGGAGCAGCCCATATCAGCTAAGGTGTCTTTGAGTTCGGTTACCAACATGGCGTTAACATCTTCAAGCTTTACTCGCTTGGGAGGTGCTGCTTGATCATCGTCGTCATCTCGAGCATGAGTCTTCTTTCCAGATGCTTTCTTGTCATTCTGTTCAATACAAGCAGCGTAATATAAGTGCTGCAGAAACTTTCTTAGGGTAGTGAAATCCTTATTCGTCAAGTGATTCACTATGGGGAGCGCGCATACCTTGTCAGCGTTTGTCGATTTCTCATCATCATTAGAAGATTTCCCGTTATCAGATGCAATGTCATCTGTGTCTTGCTTGTCGTCTTTGTCATCCGCTTCAATCGCCGCATCAAGCCTAGCTACCTGTGATCCAGTTATACAAACCTTGCTTAGCATGAGTAAGAACAGCGTTAAAGCTTGAAAGATGGTTGACACATTTTCATACGCAGTTTATGGCCTCAACATTATAATAGAAAATATCTTCTCATGTGATAAAAAAAAAACCATTCTTCGTCGCTTAAGATAGATGTTAATCTGAGTAGCGAAGGTGCTCAATTTATCTCTGTTTGATAAGAGATCTGAAATCATAATTAAAGGGAAAGAGTACCAGAGCAGGCTTTAGGCCAGTGGTGTCCAGTCCCCGCTTCGCTAGCTCATCTCTCAGCTCCTGGACTCTCAATTTGTTTGACATTTCAACTAAGAGCAGTCAAAAGTCGGTTCCTTTAGTCGAGTGACCAGAAGATTGCGCTGCATCAGCACTTAAAATGTCAGCCTTAAACAACACATGTAAACACTAGGAGTTCAAATCAAAACTTCTTTTCTCTTCACAGTGCAGTAATCAGATATCTTCCGCTTGAGTTTGGACTGAACAAACAGGTTCATTTCAGAGATGCCCATATCTAAAAAAGTTCGACAGCGTTACAGAATTGGCCGGCAAAGAAACAGTAAATGGAAGAGAAAGGAGAACAGCAGGACTGGTCAGTGTTTCAAAGGTTGATGCAGATCTGATTGGCAACGATAATGTTGTGATGAGATCCAAGAAAACAATTGGAAAGCAGAGCTCGCAGCTACAATTAAATCCAAACAAAGAGCAGAAAAGCTCCAGTAAGAGACATAAATCAGACGAGCGCGAAAAGTAATTTTCAACTTCTACAACCATCACACCATGGGAGAACAGATGTCGGAATGATCTATATTCTCTGAGCACATTCTGCCTTTCCGTTACAGACCTTATCCATCGATCCAAATTCTACGACAAATCTAAAGGGCATGAAAAAATTCGATCTTGCTCTCAACCAGGTACAAGGGCATCTACTGCGACGTAAGGTGATTAATTATCCCCCATGCTGACTGCAAACATGACCTCATTAACACCGCCACCACCCAGACAAAAGAAACACAGCACTTCACAATCAGCAGGAGATCTCAGCTCACGTCAAATCATGCTTCCAACTATCATTGGCTACGCGGAATCTACAAACATTAACACATGTGATATCCTTGTCTTGCACACTAGCGTGTCAGAGAAGCAAATGAGAGCATTGATTTGAGGCCCATTCGATCGCTGCCGAATTGAACTCGTTGCCTTTTTGAACCACTGAAATCGAAATCTTTATTTAGCGCGCTATAAATTCAAAAAAAAATTCGCACGGCACTCGAACGCAAAAGCGACATACCGAAAGAAAAAAATCCTCGGGCGAGCGATCCATGCACTAAATGCACGCGCACGTACCTCCTCCTACTCCTCCGGTCTGAAGCAGAATTGCAAGATTTGTCAAAACCATGAACGAATGTTCGCGATCTCAGGTCGTCCTCCGCCTGCGCTGCTCCGCTCTCCAGGCATCTCTCTCTCTCCGCTGGAGAACATTTAGAAGAACACTGCGATCGTGTCTCCCGGTTCGAGCCACTCACGCGGGCAATCGGCAGCTCTTTCGCCTGAAGGATGACCAGAGCTCCCACAGCGCTCCTCCATGCCAGGCCGCCCAGATGTTCTTGTAACGAAGGAGAGACGTGGTCAACGCGGAGATCTTGCGGTATAGATTTGAATATCGCGATTGACAAACTGGCATCTGAGACGACAAGCTTCAGATCGAAGCCAAGCCAGCCGACGACTGTACGGCACCCTTGTTCAATCTCTCTTATTACGGATCTTCTCTTAACTTTAGACGGAGCAGAAAAGCAACTTCCCTGAAGAGGTACAGGGATACATTCTCGTCTAAACTTGAATATGATCCATCGCTTATCTTTGAGTGATAAGTCTTTTTGTAACCTCACTCTATCCACAAACCCATGAGATCACACGTTCTAACAATCTGTTGTGCCCCATGAGGTACTTTGCCGTACTGGTTTAAACCTTCGTATCTAAATTTAAAGGAGAGCGTTGAATGCTTCGCCACTCCTCTCTCATTTCTTCATGAAAATAGCTTTATCTCTACTCTCCATACAATACTTGCTGCAATACTTTAAGCTGCCCGAGAGGAATGTAGTCTTGTTAGACCTATTGCTTGAATACACGTTTTTCTCTTACACTTCGTCAAGACTTTAACATAGCCTTAGGAAGAAAATATTTGTTTACTAAATTAAATACTCTTTATTAATTTAATCAAGTCCTTGAAATCAATAATTTTGTAAAATATTCAATGCTAATTGGCAAATAATACTGGAATAAATGACATGATCGCATATGCACCTGTCAATCAAAAATGAACCTCTAAGTTACGTGGAGAGTAATTTATGTAAAAGATCTCATAGTTGTTGTTAAATCATAAGATCTTGATGGTTAAACCATAAAAATCAACTCACTTCTTGATTTAACTCTTGATACTTTAACATTGATCAGTTCAATTAAATAGTCTCTGTTTATATAAAGTAACATTTAGGTTTTGAAGTAAATCACTTGAATTCAAGTGGAAGTAGAATCAGGGATCTGAATCAGATATACACTATGTGTCATATATAAGTGTACGCTATGATCTACTGTTGAGAAATTTTCTCTGTTTGTATATTTTCCTGATGCATTTCCAACAGTGATCTCTACTATGAAACATTATAATTTCTGAAATCTACATTCATGTGATTGATGACATGCAAAATTTTGAATATAATTTTCATATGCTAATGATTCCAGTATCACATCTTTACTCCACAATGAATGCAAACATCTAGCACTATACCAAAATAATGCGTTTTTGTTATATATAATATCATGAAGGAAAAAGATTGTTTCACAAACTTTGAATAATGATTAACTACCAAAAAAAATTTCATCATGTGCTGATATCCATTTCATTTCATATGAATCAAACTAACATCAAAATTAAAAATTCTTTTAAATTAAAATTCTAATTGTCAATTTTTAGTCATTTATAAATAAGTAAAACTAAGATTTTTTTATTTATTTTTATTATTCATTTGCAGAAAAAATCTGCAGAGACGAATTTTCAATTTCTTGATCATTGATGTATTAAAAAAAATACTATTGGTGACAAAAACTTCTATAGTTGACTTTCTATAATTGATGATATTTTTTACATTAATAGAAAATGCATCAAGAGATCATTTTTTTCATGCAGATAGTACAGAATCAACAGATTTTTTTAAATATAAAGTATTGAATGTTTATTTCATTTTAATTCATTCAAACTTTGTTTGATCATTTAGTCTTGAATCTATCTAAACTAACATCATTCGCGTTTTTCTGTTTATACATTATAAAATTTATTACAGGATCTTCTTAATGAGTGACTTAACTATTTTAAATTGATAAGCACTAAAACAATATAATAAAAATTTCAAGGGTTATAGAAATCTTGAATTGCTACGATGATCAAAAAAAATATTGAAAAAATTAATATATGAGGACATAATTATAAATAATCAATTTTACCCAAATTTACTGAAATAAAAGTATGTGTGTATTTCACCCACAAATCATATCTGAATAGAACTAACAAATCATGTTCAATTATTCAAGTTAAAATGATATTTTAATTTACTTTATTTTATCAGAATTTGCATATAAACTATCTTTTGTTAATACATACTCAACTTGTTGTCTTGTTAACATCAACATAGATGTACATGAAGAAATTCATTCAAAATATTGAGAATTGAACATTATCTCATAGATTATCGATTGTGACTCACACTTATTAATTGGATAATCCAAGTATGGACACCTGAATTAAGAAATAAAGGAATAATCATTCAAATTTATACATTTATTAAAGGTTAAATCTTTCAAGGTTAGATAGATTATTTACATGTAGTTTGATATTTTTATCATATATTTAGATGAAAAAATATCTTGATCCTAGAAGTAATAAAATTTAGTTTCATCAAAAATTCTTAAAAAATAAAATTTGTGTTAAAATTTTAATTATACAAATAATTGTTCTTATGATCTTCCATTCTTAACACATATATTTAATTTAAAATATAGGAATTATTGACTAGATGATTTCATTGTATTTATATATAACATGTTATGCACACATGCTAATGTGTATCTAACATTGAATGTGATTTTTGATTACAAATAAGATTAGCTATCAATTACAAGCTTAATTCTAAGAACAATTTTCACATTGTGTATGAATTTGAAGTACGTCAAGCTTCCAAAAATTAATAATTTCTAATATACATTTGATTTGTAAGTAATGAGGAAATATTTATAAAAATAAGAATCAATTTGAAGTTAAATGAAATCAAGTTATGAAATAGTATAAACTAAAATTTCATTTATAAAAGTCATTCAAAAAAATTCAAATTTTTTACATTGTTACAAGTTGTAATCATTAATGTTTATAATTAAGTAATATAAACTTCATACTCATATAAAATTATGAAGAAAATATTATATATATAATCTAGAAAAAATTAACATTGGAAATTTATTTTTTAATTCTATATTATTTGTAAATAAAATATTGATAAAAAAACATCAAATATTTAAAAAGTTTCCTAGTAATTGTACTAATTATAGTTATTAATTGTTGTTTGCAAATTCTTTAAAAAAATCGTATGTTAATCTTTTATTATTATAATTTAGGAAAATGAAATTCCTACATTGTGTTGAATAAATGTGTAATGTGCCTCCGGACTTATAAAAGATAAATAACATATATATTTAAGTACCTCCTTATAATTTGTTGTTGTAGTGAATAAAAACTTGAACATAAAATGTTATAAAAGTTAGATGAATTTTAGTGACAATATAAAGCAAAATTTGTGAATGATACAAATAAAGACTAACACATACTTTGCAAGTAAATTTTGTGACATTTGAGAGTAAAACTGAATAGAACTTTGCATTTTGAGTAGATTTAAACACACATGTAAAACAATAATTTAATAATGTACAATAAATACTCTTAAAAAACAAACTATAAGATCAATAACTTATATGTTTAGAATCTAGTTTGAATTCTAGATTTTTTGCTTGCAAAACTTTGCATGCAATTTTTTCACACATTTTTTTTACATGTAATTAAAAATTTTAGAAATTGATAACTACATTGAAATTGATAACAATGACATCACAAAATGTTTTACACTTGAAATGATAGATATTCAATTTTGTTATTAAGAAATTGATAACTACACAAATTTTTTTTAATGATTCGAACAAATATCAACAACATTTAAAACTTTCATGTTCAAAAATTTTGATTTTTCAATCTATGATAATATACAATGATATGATAATTAATAAAACTACTTCTTCAATTGTTGAAGGAGTAAATCTAATTGAGTAAGTCAAATTAAAATAATACACATTGAAATAATACACAACTTAATAGATACTTAGAGTAACAAGAAAAATTCAAAATAGAGTAACAATCTTATTTATTTATTTGAAAAAGAATGATGTTGTAAAAATATTAATCATGTTGAATAATCCCTTGCAGCTACAACCTTTAAAAAAAATAGCAAATAAGAAAATTTAAAATATGATTGAGAAACTTATTTATTTAATTCTTGATGATGATACAAAATGTCATGTAATAACATCAAAATTTTTGTCTATAATTTGTTTTATTCATCCATAGAGCACATAAATAACAGAAAATTATGACATTAAAATATTGATTATTAATTTTAAAATTCAATGTACATTATTTCAAGCATATATATAGCTGATATTTAAGCTTTAATTATTATAATTAAAATTTGACAATAAAAAAATCAAATTGAAACAAAATGTTAGAAAATTTCACAATTAATTGTGGAAGATAATCTGACGACTATATCAAACAATTTTACAAGTTTGATGAACATATCATTTCATAAATATTTAAGAATAACAAACAACGTCACAAACAAATTTCTACTCTAAATTACAACTGTCAATCAATAAACAAAAATCAGTGTAATATATACAATTGACAATGGAAATAAATATCAGAATAAACTTTGAAAAAATTATGATCTTTATGTTAGTTTAACT